TGTAAAAGTAAGAAGCTACAAACTGAAAAAGAGGCTACTAAATGAATTAAGAAGTTATGCCATTAAGGAAAATTGCAAAAGAAGTTATAAAGTAAAATACGAAAAGTAAACTGAACATGTACAATAGGGGATTGAGACGAAAATACATAAAAGGGGAATGAATATATACATGGAAAAGTAACTTTATATACATACCAAAAGTAAAAAGTACGAGAACAATGGAAAATAGTATCAAGGTTATTACAAACCAAATATCCAAATCATCATCAAAATAGGCCACCCCCAAATAAAAAGTAGCATTGTCCTCAATGCTATCAGCAAAAATAGAATAGGGGAAGAGTAGAGAGTAAAGAAAACTCCCTATGATGCCTCTGTCTACATGGGGTTACTGGCTGGGTCCTGTGGCTGGCCTGAGTCACCTCCCTTAGGGTCCTCCAGCTCAATCTCCAGATCCTTAGTCTGGGGGATCAGCCCTCTCCTCACGGGCGCTTTGTCACCTTCCTGCTCTGGTTCCTGTGCTGGCTGAGCTACCGGGACTGGCTCCTCTAACAGTAAGTCCAATAGAATGTCTCCAGCTGATCTAATCTTCTGAACCTCCCTGCTCAGCAGCTTCACTGACTCCTTTGCGGCTCGAGTCTTCTTCAGCTTCTTTGTTTGTTTGCCCAGGTCCTTGATTGCTTTTCCTTGTGCCTCCAAAGCATCCATGATAAGCTTCTGGTTATCCAGGAGCTTCTTCTGGTTGTCCAAAAGCTCCTATAGAGATTCCTCCACTGAAGCGGGCACTTGAGGCTGAGCTGGAACTGACTGAGCTGCCACTGTGCTGGATATGACAGACAACTTAGATGTAGCTACCTGCATCCAGTTGTTGATGGTGGAAAGAGTCTGATTAACCCTTAGTGCAGTGAGAGGGTATGCTGATGAAGAAGGCACCGAAGTAGGAATAGAGGAAGATGGTCTGGAGGAAGGATGTTGCATGGCAGTGGAAGGCTCAGAACCAGTGGCTATCACCGCTGGCTTTTCAGACTGGCCAGTAGAAATGGTGGCTTTGCCCTTGGACTTGGGGTTGTCTGGACCCTGTAGGCTATACCATGAAAATTGCCTCTTTGATTTCACTTTGGTGTCAAAATCCCTTGCTTCTACTTCCTGATCCTCCAGGTAAATAGTGAGGAAGTTTGGGAAAGGATATGAGCTCTCATTCTTTCCAACCACTCTGGAATAGTCTCGGGAATAGTAATCACCGATGCGAGCCAAGGGCGGGCTAACTCATCCATAGACACCTTCTCTAGATACAGGGACTCATCCTCATCATTGAACCCAGCATAGTCATTCAACATCTTGCCATCAAATCTAATCTTCAGGTTCCGCACCTTGGTCACATAGATGCCTTTTTTGATGTGGGCTACGTTGGCATAGAACACTTTGACTAGATATTCATTGGCCTCCGACAGCTTGCTTGTGAAGAATCTCCACCCTCCTCTTTCATCAAACTGCCTCTTCACATTGGGGGTGTGGGGTAGAAGATCCCTTTCTATGAATTCCCTCTTGAGGGAGAGAGACCTCTGCAGCCACCATTCCCGGAATTTGTGATAGGCTTTCTCACTAACAAATCGTTGTTGCCACACCATCGGGTTCCTTGACCTTGGCAACCCCCCTGCCTGGGTGTCACCACCTCTCCCGTCATCAGCGATCTCAGCATCTACATAAATAGGGTTCATTGGTGGGACAAAGGTGTGGCAGGTGGAGAAGCTAATGCTGAAGACTCACTACTCTCCTCTAAGCCATCAGACGACTCAGAAGAAGCAGGGGGTGTAGGTTCATCTCGCAACTAAAATTTCTCTATAAAGTCTGCAGGGATGTGGGTTGGCACTGAGTCTCCTTTTGAAACTTCTCGGGAAGGGACATATTCACTTCCTTCAGAATGGGATGCGGCTCTGTCCGCAGCTTTAATGGCCTTTTGCATTTTCCCAATGGATTGTTGTACCGCTAGGGGTAACTTGATTCTTCCTCGTCCCCTTCCTCGGGGGGACTCTGCTTTCCCTTTTTGTTTATCACTCCCGCCTCTAGATTTCACTATTGTCTGCATACACAATCATTGAAACTCATTAGTGTTGTTGTTAAAAGAATCATTAAAGCAAGACAGATGACAAGTTGACAGTGTTCCAAAAGCAGAGGTCCGCTGACAGCAGAAAAAGGGGTGCTGCCGCGGACTAGCTACCGTTGAGAGCAGAATTTTGAACTCGACCGCGGAGGAGTGGGATTCAGACTACCGAGTCTCTGAAGTTGGACTACCGCTGAGAGCGGAATTTTGGACGCGGCCACGAAAGTTGAAACGTTGTCCGCGGAAAAACAAACGCGGTCGCGAACCCAATTTAGCAGGATTCTGAACCTAAAATCCACTTTCTGCGAAAAAAGAAGCGCGATCGCGTAAAGTAGGCTGGTGACCGCAGAATTCACCGCTGTCCGCGGAAAATGAACCATTTTTTACTCAAGACATTGTATAAACGCTGACCGTGGAATTTCAGCCGCGACCGCGGAATTCATAAAGAACGAGCACTGAAGGGTTTTTGTACTAGCATAAAAATTAGGCAAATAGGTGCCAAAATGAACAACCCTACCCCCTATTAGGCACACATAACAAATACCCACATGAATTTTTAACATCAATGCCTATATTATGGTGATTTATCAAACCCTAATTGAAAAGAAGAAGTTAAAACTAAAAGAAAAGAAAAGCAAAAATATTAAAGCAATGCTGTGATTTGAACATACTAGTTGTTTGATTTTGTGGTAGAAACTAATTCCTGATTAAAGCTATGATACTGGGCTCAGAGTAGATGGAGATGTACAGTAGCTAATTCTTTTGAGAGTGAAGAGTGCGAAAAGGGTAAAAGGAGTAGGGCCCTCCTATTTATACTAAAAACTCGAGGGCCCACACCGACCTACCTGGCGCGGCCGCAGAATTCTACCACGGTCCGCGCTTTTGGCCATTTTGAAGAGTTGCAGGTTCCAGGATACCGCTGAGAGCGGAAAAGTGGGCGCGAAATAACCTCCGCTACCGCGAAAAAGCCACCGCGGACCCTTCAAAGAGGTCACATTTTGGACTTTCCAAGTCCGCGTCCGCTATAGAATCACGCCCCCGCGAAAAGCTTCCGCTGACCGCCGAATTTTGAGCGTGGTCAGCGGTCCCATTACATGCTTAGCCAAATTTTCCAGTATTAGTCCTGCACTGCATTAAAAATTCCTACACAAACTTCACAACCAGTTAGTCCAAAACACAGCCTACACTAAGAAGAAAATCAAAAAGAAAGAAAAACACATGGGTTGCCTCCCAAGAAGCGCCTGATTTAATGTCGCGGCACGGCGCAGGTTACAATCAATCATTTGAGATGGATTATTGCCACCACGTGGATGTCGTCAAACTTGCCAAGATAGTGCTTCACTCGGTGCCCATTAACTTGGAGGATTTCACCATTTTTGTTTTTCAAATCAAGAGCACAAAACGGAGTTACATGCACCACTTCAAAAGGGCCACTCCATTTTGACTTGAGCTTTCCCGGAAACAGTCGTAACCGAGAATTAAATAGAAGAACCAAGTCACCTTCCTTGAATTCCTTGTTCCGGGCATACTTGTCATGTAAGTACTTCATCTTGTCCTTATACAAGGACGAGCTGGAATAGGCATGGAACCTAAACTCATCAAGTTCATTGAGTTGCTCTACTCGGAGATTTGCTGCAACATCCCACTTAAGATTTAGCTTCTTCAGCGCCCACATGCCTTTATGCTCTAACTCAACCGGAAGATGACACGCTTTTCCAAATACCAACCGATTCAGAGACATACCAATTGGAGTCTTGTAAGAAGTCCTGTAAACCCACAAAGCATCATCCAGTTTCTTTGACCAATCAGTCCTATTTACATTGATAGTTTTTGACAATATGCTCTTTATCTCCCTGTTGGAAACCTCAACTTGTCCACTAGCCTGAGGATGATAAGGGGTTGATACCTTGTGATTGACACCATACTTTGCAAGCAAAGTGTCAAATGCCCTATTGCAGAAATGAGAACCCCCATCACTGATGATCGCCCTAGGAGTGCCAAACCTTATAAAAATATTTTTCTTCAAGAAAGCCACTACACTCCGTGCCTCATTGTTGGGCAAAGCGAGAGCTTCAACCCACTTGGAAACATAATCAACAGCAACCAGAATGTACGTGTTAGCACATGAACTCACAAAAGGTCCCATGAAGTCAATGTCCCACACGTCAAATATGTCATCCTCAAGAATAGTGGTGAGAGGAATTTCATCCTTCTTGGAAATTCCACTCGCTCTCTGACACTCATCACATCTCTTCACAAGCTCACTCTCATCTTTATACAATGTAGGCCAATAAAAACTACAGCTGAGCACCTTTGAAGCAGTTCTCACCCCACCATTATGACCACCGTAGGGTGAGGAATGGCAAGCATCAAGAATAGTCATTTGCTCCTCTTCCGGAACACATCTCCGGATCACACCATCATTACAAATCTTGAACAGGTAAGGCTCGTCAAAATAGTATTCCAAGCTATCCCATTTATGATTTTTCCTTTGGTTAGAAGAGAGCTCATACGGGACAATGCCGGTCACAAAAAAATTAGCAACACCGGTGAACCAAGGCATACTATTCAAAGATACGGAGAGGAGTTGTTCATCTGGGAATGAATCATTAATTTCGAGACCATCATGGGGCCTCCCCTCCTCCTCCAAGCACTACAAGAAAGTAGGGCTACAACGACATTTAAAAGGCGACTTATTTAATAAATGTCGGAAAAGGATTGAAATTTTGACATTTTTAAAGAAATATCGTAAATTCAGTGACATTTAACGATAAATGACAAAATAATTGAGACTTTTAATTAAAATATCGCAATATTTGTCGGTATTTGCTGACTTTTACAGCAAATGCAGGAAACTTATTTAAGTTTGTAATGTTAATTCTAACAAATTGAAATTGAAAAATTACTTGTATATTACCGACTACCGGAGGCCGCCTGTTTAATGTTCTTCTCTCAAAAACCCTACTGGTGATCTTTCCTCTTTCCTCAACAACAAAATCACGATTTCCACCGTTTTATATTCACGAAATTGTCGAGGCATTGTGAAACTGCAACAGCCTAATGGGATTTTTCTTCTAGACTCGCTTCATATACCTTTCGAGCGCTCCAATCAATTTCTCTCGAAGTTCATCGTCGTGCTCGATTCGCGGATAATCCAATTCCAGCATGACACAGAGAATCGAACTCTAGAACTTTATACTACTGGTTATAATTCTCGATCTTTTAGTCAAGGTTACTGAGTTTCGGGTAATTTCTATTCACCTGTGATTCGATGCTATTCTGGATTGAATTTTTAATTGACTGCCTTTAAAATAGTTTCAAACTTTTATTCTATTCTATTCCGTTCCTACCAGTCATTTGATCAAATGCTTTAGAGGATTAACTAACATTTATTGGATTCGCACTTTCCTAGATAGTCATGTTCGCATAACTAGAGAGAATATAATTTACTTTTATCAGTATAGCAGCTTGATAGAATAGAATCATTTTTCCATCTCAAAAAAGGGATAGAATTCTTTTGTATAGATGAAATTTTGATAACTACTTGAGATTTTGTAAGTACACTTCATAATTTTTCTACCATTCCATTCTTCTTCATAGATTACATCTGACACAAGTGGAGGCTGCCTAAGTACTGCCCTTTGACACTACCGTTACCTGTTGCGCTTGCAACAACAGAGCTTTATTATGAATCACCGAGCTGTAATTGTGCTATATTTTTTTGGAAGAAGTTAAAAAAAGCAACTATCAATAGCATAAGACCACAAGATTAATATTTTTGACCTTTGCCATGGAAACCTCAAGGATTTTTCTCTTCAATGTCAGTTCTTTTGCTTTATCTTTTCATGTTGAAATGATCTTGTACTGGTACTGATTAGATTATTGACATTGTTTGGATGTTTAATTTGTTCTTACCATGACAGAACCCTGAAATCCATTTACCACATACAACATACTGATGCACCAGTCAATGAATAAGGTAATTAATCAATTTATAGGACTATTTTGCATCAACTAGATAGTTTATTTAATTATTTATTCCCGACAAACTACTCTATATATTCATCCAGTGAAATGACACTCTACAATCTAATTATTTATTTCTCTGTAAAGGGCAGAACAACTGAAACGAAATTCTAATGTTTCTTTCTACTTATAATACCTGAGAATGTAACACTGCAGACTAATATTTTTAATGTTATTTCTCTTTGTTTTAGCTTATAGAAAGCATTATCCACCATTTTTGGGACAGTGAGATATGACATTTAGGAAAAGATTGCACAAGATGAATGTCGACCTAAATGGCTGGCTGAGAAGGGAATATCACTTGTGAAACACTTCCTACATTTGTACGTAACTCCATCTCTATTAGTGGAATGATCTTTTCCATAAGCTAATGATGCCAAATTGATATATTTATCTTAAGCTTCTAATATTGGATGGTTTTTGTGTTATTTTGCAGAAGATAGTAACCATATGACTATCTATACTTCTTCAAGATATTGTACGAGGTAAAATCACTTGTTCATTTTGCTACTTAGTAGTTTCCTAAATTAGTTTAGTGATGATTTTTTTTTTTTTAATTTTAGTTCTTGAAACAAAACTATAGAAGAATGTGAGCAGCTAATGCAAAGGAATCCTCGACTTGGGAAAGCATGGACACTAAAGCGATGGACCCTAGAGCATTTCCGTCAAAAGGATGATGCCAAAGTTATGACTGGCGCATAGATTGTTTTGGAAGTTTAGGGGAAAAGTTATGAAATAATTGTATGTTGGAAGTAACTCTATATTTGGTTCAAATTGTTTGTAATGTACTGAAAAGTATGAAATGATAATGGATGTTATTGTGAATAAATTATTGTTAATTTATTGTTTTCTTTTAATACAAAAATGTCTTTGATTTAATCTTTAGCCATGACAAATAATGATTCACCTTCATATTATCAGTCAAAAACTATAAAGAATTTTACGACATTTATATATATGTCACAAACAAGGTAGGTTAAGAACCCAAATTATTGACATTTGATAAATGAAGTAAATAAGTGTCACAAATTATTTGCCGACATTAATTTAAACGTCAGGAAAAAATGACATTGAAATTTCCGACATTTGATTTAAGTGTAAAATAAATGCCGGTAATTGATTTTGTGCCATTTATGTGATTTATACCGACATTTATAAAATGTCGTCGTATGTCATTTTCTTGTAGTGAAGCAGGACAAGTGGTCCGCCACTTGGTTTTCACACCCTTTTCGATCAACAATTTCAAGGTCAAACTCTTGAAGCAATAGAACACATCTCATCAACCGAGCCTTAGAATCCTTCTTTGTCATCAAGTAGCGGAGTGCTGCATGATGAGTATGAACAATCACCTTGGCACCCATGAGATAAGGCCTAAACTTTTCCATGGCAAACACTATGGCTAGCAACTCTTTTTTCGTCACCGTGTATTTAACCTGGGCGTTATTCATAGTTTTTCTTGCATAATACACCGGGTGAAACATCTTGTTCACCCTTTGCCCCAAGACCGCTCCTACCGCAATATCACTTGCGTCGCACATAAGCTCGAAGGGTAAGCTCCAATTGGGTGCGGTAATAATGGGAGTGGTTGTCAGTTTGTACTTGAGAAGTTCAAAAGCTTTCATGCATTCTTCATTAAACACAAACCTCGTATCCTTTTCCAATAATTTACACAAGGGATTCACTATCTCTGAAAAGTCCTTGATGAACCTTTAGTAGAAACCCGCATGCCCAAGAAAGCTCCTAACCCCCTTGATGGAAGTAGGAGGAGGAAGTTTTGAAATCACTTCAATATTCGCCTTGTCCACCTCAATACCGTTCTTTGAGATCTTATAGCCGAGGACAATGCCCTCCTCGACCATAAAGTGGCATTTTTTCCAGTTAAGAACAAGATTTGTCTCTTCACATCGGGCTAGCACCTTGTCAAGATTCTTCAAAGGAGTCACCCACAACACTAAAATCATCCATGAACACTTCTAAGAAGTCCTCCACCATGTCCGTAAAGATAGCCATCATACACCGCTGGAAGGTAGCCGGTGCATTACACAAATCAAATGACATCCGTGAAAATGCAAAGGTTCCATACGGGCATGTCAAGGTGGTTTTCTCTTGATCCTCCGGAGAATTCAAAATCTGGTTATAACCTGAGTACCCATCCAAAAAGCAGTAGTAGGCACGCCCGGGAAGTCTGTCCATCATTTGGTCAAGATAGGGCAATGGAAAATGATCTTTACGGGTCACTTTATTCAGCTTCCGGTAGTCCATGCATACCCTCCATCCGGTGATAGTCCTAGTGGGGATCAACTCATTTTGCTCATTTGTGACCACAGTCATACCACCCTTCTTCGGCACACATTGTACCGGTGAAGTCCAAGAACTATCCGAGATGGGGTACACAACCCCTGCATCTAGCCACTTGATCACTTCCTTCTTGATGACATCTTGGATAGCCTCGTTCAACCTCCTTTGATGTTCCACGGAGGGTTTGGCATCATCCTCAAGTATAATCTTGTGCATGAAAAAGGCGGGGCTTATTCCCCGAATATCGGCTAGAGTCCATCCAATTGCCTTCTTCCTTCTTTGGAGCACCTCAAGGGTGGCATCTACCTGCACGTTAGTTAAGCAAGAAGAAAGAATAACAGGTAAAGTTGAACTAGGGCCCAAGAATTCATACCTGAGGTGTGAAGGCAAAGGCTTCAACTCACAATACGAGAGGTTCCTCGATTGAGGGTTTTGTTGGTGGAGTCTTTCTGTTCTCAAGATCCAAGGAAAATTTACGGGGCTCATAGGAGTAAGAACCCATTCCGTGCAAAGCATTGACATACTCTACCAAACCTTCATCCTCAGTCACATCATGGTTCAACAATACAACTTCCAAAGGATCCTCTACATTGGTCATGGCACTTGTGTCATCAACTATCACCTCCGTCACAAGATCAACAAAAGAGCAAACTTCAGTACTATTTGGTTGCCTCATCGATTTGCAAACGTAGAAGACAACTTTTTCGTCACCCACCCGGAAGGTGAGCTACCCTGCTTCCACATCAACCAATGCCTTCCCTGTTGCTAGGAAAGGCCTTCTCAATATTATAGGCACCTCATAGTCGACTTCGTAGTCGAGATAAATCCGCAGGCAAAATAAACTTGTCTACCCGGACAAGAACATCATCAATAATACCAAGCGACCTCTTCATTGTTCGATTCTCCATTTGCAATCTCATTGAAGTAGTTCGCAGTTGACCAATACCCAAAGTTTTGAATACAGAGTAAGGCATCAAATTTATACTTGCTCCCAAATCTCACAATGCCTTTGCAAAATCCGCACTCCCAATGGTACATGGAATGGTGAATGCTCCGGGATCTTCAAGCTTTGGAGCCATCGAGTGCACAATTGCACTCACTTGATGAGTCATTTTGATGGTCTCACAATCCATAGATCTCTTTTTAGTCACCAAGTCTTTTATAAACTTGGCGTATCCCGGCATTTGCTCAATCACTCAATACCGTATATGGCCAATCCGGCCCAGGAAAGATCCATCCCGCAAATATATACATCAACTGATAGTCAGTCACTCAGTACTGGGTAGGGCCAATCCAGCCCATGGGGAAGATCCATCTCTAGGTATAAATGCTTCGGACAAGATCCATGTCCAGGGAAGATCCATCCCTCAATATAAATCAACCACGCTCACTGGGGTGTGGGTAGACTCTGGAGAGGCTCCTTCAGCCCAAGCGCTATCTTAAGCCAGATCCAAGAATAAATTAGTAAAACCTGCTGCGGCGTGCAGCCCGATCCCATAAATATCACTCATAATCAGGCTCTCGGCCTCACTCAGTCATCAATCTCTCTAGTCTCTCTCTCACGGGCTCACAATGTCATGAAACCAGCCCGAAAATGATGATAATGTATCAATAAATAGCAATAGAGATTGAGATATGATATGTAATTAATGAATGTGATTGAGTACGAAATTTCAATGAAATCAATAAGTCAACAGCAAGAAACAACCACTATGGGTTCCAACAGTACCAGTGTATAGCCTAAACATGATCTCTAGCATGATTGACAGCTCAGTTACTTACTCACATGATGAAAACACAAATATCAACAAGATAAATCCACTATACAGTTCCATGGAATCAACCAGGTCACAATTCTCACGGTGCACGCTCGTACGCCGTCACTTGGCATGCGCATCACCTAAACACCAATCACATAACACATAATTCAGGGTTTCTAACCCTCAGAGCATAGTTTAGAAGTGTTACTTTCCTCAATCCGAGCAAAACTCTATTCTAATACACCTTTGCCTCGCGAAACGGCCTTTGAATGCCTCGAATATAGCCAGAAACAATGCGATACAATCAAGATGGACTAAGGGAATCAATTCCATAAGGAAATACTAAGTTATACATCAAAAGTCAAAATTCGGCCCCAGGGCTCACGTCCCGAAATTCGACAAAAGTCACAAAAACCATAAGCCCATTCAACCTCGAGTCCAACCATACCAAATTTACCAAAATGAGACACCAAATCGCCACCCAAATTCCCAAATCAAACTCTCCAAATCCCTAGCCTCAAACCCCCAAATTTCACCTATAAACCACACAATCTAGGTGGAAAAATCAATGGGGAAACAAGATTATTGAATAAAAATGAGCACAAGTGACTTACCTCAAGAATCTCCTCAAAACCCTCTCAAAAATCACCTTAGACCGAGCTTGGAATGTCAAAAATGAAGAAAAATCGCGAACCCTTGAATTTATATGTTCTGCCAGTCATTTCGCTTTTGCGGACACTTAGCCGCTTCTGCGGCACCGCTTATGCAGTCCATCATCCGCATCTGCAGAAATCCCTTATGCGACCAACCGCTTCTGCAGTCCAAATCTTGCTTCTGCAGGTGCGTATTTGTGCGAACGATCCGCTTCTGCATACCAGTGACCCCATTCCATTTCCGCTTCTGTGATCCTCCACTCGCAGGTGCGAGTCCGCACCTGCGGAAATTCTCCCGCATCTGCGCTCCACAGTCCCCCTAGTCTGACCACTTCTGCGCCTCCCAGCTCGCACCTGCGACCAATGTTTCACAGGTGCGATTGTACAATAAGGCTTCAGCAGTCTTCCAAACTCAAAAATCGATCAGTTAACCATCCGAAATCGACCCGAGGCCCCCGGGACCTCAACCAAACATACCAACAAGTCATGAAGCACGATATGAACTTAGTCTAGCCTTCAAATCACGTCAAACAACATCAAAAACACGAATGGCACATGGATTCAAGACTAATGAACTTTGAACTTCTAATTTCTACAAACGACGCCGAAACCTATCAAATCACGTCCGATTGACCCCAAATTTTGCACAAAAGTCACAAATGACACCAATGACTTACTCCAACTTCCGAACTCCATTCCGACCCCGATATAAAAAATTCCACTCCCGATCAAACTTTCCAAAAATCCAACTTTCGCAATTCAAGCCTAATTCAACTACGGACCTCCAAATCACAATCCGGACACGCTCCTAAGTCCAAAATCATCCAACGGAGCTATCATAACCATCAAAACTCCATTCCGGAGTCGTTTCCACATAAGTCAACATCCGGTCAACCTTTTCAACTCAAGCTTCCAACCTTGAGACTAAGTGTCTCAATTCATTCCGAAATCCCTCCGGACCTGAACCGACTAATCCGGCAAGTCACATAACATCTACAAAGCACAAAATGAGTAGTAAATGGGGGAGCATGGCTACAACTCTAAAAAATAACCGGCCGGGTCATTACATCTTCCCTTGTTAAACAAACGTTCGTCCTTGAATGGGTCTAGAAACATACCTGGAGTCTTGAATAGGTGTGG